AAAATATTAGAAATATATTTAAAATTATTTATTAATTAATAAATAAATGTACTAAATTAGTAAAAAGTCTTGATTTAGTATTTCGCTTAAACATAAAAAGGTTTAAAAATGTAAAAATTTTGTTTTTAGAACGATGTCTTGCTAGAGTGTTTACTTTTACTTCGATCCGGGGTTCTCTGATCGTATTTGTGTATACTCTAGTAATGCTATTTACAAACTCGGGACTATGGTTTATTGTTTTATGTGTATAGACGAATTCACTAACGCTTCTGTAGCCTTCCCAACAATCAGTGTATATAATAGAATCCTTTAAGACATATTCATCTATAATTTTCAGTAATGTTTTTATCTTTAATAACAACCTCTAACATATATTTTCGTTCTTTTGTTTTTTAACCACTCCCAAAAACCCAGATGCCTTCTATCTTATGTCTTTTGTTATACTTTCGACGACCAAATTTTGATTCATCTATTCCAGCAATTAAACGTGGACCTCATATTTTGCAGGTCAAATTAACATGTCTACCACTGTGCTTTAAAATTCTATAGATAATTTTTTTCCTTACCCAGATAGTAATCTAACTAATTTAGAACTAGAATTTAGTAACAATAAAACCTCAGCAATTTGCTGATATGTTAACTTTAAATAAAAAATATCTTCTTTTGCGTTAAATCATCCTACCTCTATATTTTTTTTCTTGCGCATCTTACTTTACTATATATGTATTTTTTACGATGCCTAAATTGCCTTAATATTTTTGACAAAGTCTACTTATTACTATATTTGAGTAGAAATTATCAAATATTTCACTAGCATTTTTAAGATTTTAATACATTTTAAGGGTTAAACAAAAAATATATAATGTTATATATTTGTATAATTTTTACCCCACTGTCGCATCCTTAAAAAAGGATACCGAACTTAAAATGGCTTTCTAAAATACTTTTAATTAAAAAGCTTTAGTATAAGACCGTTTTTCTTTAAACTGATCATAAGGGTATTTTTGTACTTCTTCCTTTTTATTCATTCTTTTTGGAGTTAAAAAAAGAAAAAAATATTTATAAGAATAAAGTATAAAAAAATTTAGGTATGTAGTAAGAATACTACAACCCAATAAAATAAACTATAATATATAATTAAAATTTAAAGAAAGCGCATTTAAATCTTTACAAAAGCAAAAGATAGAATAAAAAACATAGCTTTTAAAATTTTATTTATTTAGATGATATTTTGTTTTAAAATAAATAAAAATATTTTTTTCTGTTTTTTTCACTTTTGATGTTTATTTTTAAGAGCTAATTTTTTTTTGTATACCCCCAAAGAAGCCCCTAATTGTATTTTTTAGCCTAGCAAAAAAATGTTTTACATAAAAGTGAGTTTTCAATTTTATTAGCTAAAAAAAAGTTTTTAGTACCAAGCATTTTTGTTTCACATTTCATTGTGTGAAATTACATATTTATAAATTAATTAAATACTAAAATATACTGGTTTTTACAAGTAAATACACTTTCTTGTGCTAATAAAATGATTTTAAAAACTTTTATTATTAATTTCTCCTTTTTTAAAATCATCTCTCAATTTTAACAGTTTACTATAAAAAGTACAAATTTTTTTTTTGACACTAATTAATAGGTTTTGAATTTTATAAGGGTAATATTTGTCACGACGAAAAAAACCACTATTAATCACTTGTAAATCATCAAGGTATGTATTATAAATTGATATTTTTTGTAAATGTCATCATACAAGCTAAATTTATCACATGCTAGATCCAATGTTTCTATAAAATCATGCATTGATTTTTGCTTCATCTTTATATAAATTCCACATATAGTTTCTAAAAAACTTGAAAGACTAATTAAAGCAAGAATTGCTTTGTGCTTAAAATCATTAGATAAAGGATATATTTTAAGTTTTTTCATTAATCGTGGTATTTTTTTTTAATGATCGGTTTACAAAATTTTCTTATAAAATATATATTGATTTTATACCAGTCAAAGAGTTTACGCTCATTAGCTGTAAATTGATTTTTTAGAATTGTTTTATTAGTGTTTCTTTTTATTTTAGATTTCAAAGTAATTTCATTGCCATTTGTTTGTATGTTAGATACTTTGCTAGTTTTAAATTTTTTTTCTTTATTTTCCACGTTGTTATCATTTTTGTAAACGCCATTTAAAAAAGAACCAGTTTCGGAATTCATAATCATTAATGAATTATAACAACCAAATTGTGTATTTATAAGAAAATTATTTGGTTTATTTATATAATCAGTTCTTAAGTTATGAATATCATAATCTGATATACCATGATCACTTGTCTGTAAAAAAGCGATGTTTTCTGGATTGGCAAATTGTCCTTGTAATAAATCAT